AGGGAAAGAAATGAACAAACAAAACTCTCCTCAAATCTATAACTCCTACTTATTCTAACTTGCTCTGTTATCAAAAATAATTCAATAAAGGTTTTAATAAAAGAGGAAATGTTTCTATTTACTTTGGAAAAGTTAATGAGTTGTGAAGTGTAATACATTTTACTTGAAGAAATTCCACTGACAACTAGATAAATTTCAAAGTGGAGTGCCAAACTACATTAAGAAAGGTAGGTAACTCTCAGTTCACTCGTCTTCCAATAAATAAAAGGGTGCATATTACAATGTATTTTGAGTATTGAGCAGTTAGTGCTACTGAAGTGAATAAAACTCTGCACTTGTAAGTTAGAGGATTTACCATTTTATAATTCTTAATATGTTTAGGTGGTTCCAGTGATTTATCTTTGTTGGATATTGCACTTTTTCTCCTTTGCTTATATGATCGCTTATTTTGACAACTTTTTGATGAGTGAAGAGACTGGGAAAATAAAATGGGAAATATTAGTTTAAGCCGTATGAACCTCATTTTTATAGTCAAAATTGTCAGTTAATAGCAGTTTTATATGGTTCAACCAAAAGAATGGTATTGCTTTGACTGTGGATGAGTAGCTGTATTTTTCTTTGGTTAATCATGTTTCTTATGTACATATTTTTGATTGTCAAAAGTAGTTTTTTATTTAGTTTTGTCTGAAAATGAACTAGACAGAGACCAAGCAGTGAATTTATGACAGCAAGCCATTATGCAGTGGTTTTCAAACTGCTTTTTACGGAGCCCTAAGATGCTTCAGTGTTCAAAAATACTTGAGTTGGATTAAATTTTAAGTACTTTTTAAAATTATAATTTAAAAATACAACCACCCAAAAATCTTTTGTTACTATTCTTGTGCAGGCCTTGAATTAAAATTTATTCTGCTCCCTTTGTACATATATTTGAATATTTTTGTTAATAAGACATTGATCAGAAAGATTGTCATTGATTATGAAGGCACTGGCCTTTAAAAAAACTTCCTTCCTGTGCATATCTACTCATATCTACTCATGTTCAATTTTCACTTGTGAGAAAAATTTATCAGTAATTGTTCATTTATAACTAAAACACTTATAAAAACGCTTTTGTGTATTTATGTGTTTCATAGTTCAGATTCAATGTAAGGTTTCATTTGTAAAGGGATTCTACTGCTTCTGTAACCTCCCCACCACCAAATAAATAAACTGCTAAAATATAACTGCAAATGTAGTGATACTGGGAGTCACAAGATATGCTCATCATTAGGTCTTTGATAGGTCTTTGAATTTTGAGCAAGTTAGTTAACTTCTTGCAGCCTAGTTTTCTCTGTAAAATATACATCATTTCTCCTTGCCTTGCAGGTTGCTGCATAGCTGGAGAGAGGTAATATGTGTTAAAGTACTTTGTAAGCCATGAAGTACAACTACAAATATCAGAAAGACAAGTCTATGTATTTTCCCTATTCCTAGAATAGGTCTTTTGTGTGTTGTGGCAATATATTTCAATACATACGGAGGAATTTGGTTAGTCTTCACTTTTCTGTCTTGTCTAATTATTGCCTGTAAGTGAGAGGTAATGATATTATGCTTTTAATTAGAGTGATCAACATACCTATTTTTATTTGCATATTCTACCCCTCCCCCTCCTTAAATAGTAATCCAATGCATTGATTTTGATGTTTCAAATAATTAAATAAAATAAAATTGCCTTTTGGACACCTCAGCAGATGAGGGATATTGGTATTAAGTTTGAAAAGACTAAGAGTTAAGGATGATTGTGCTTAATAGAAGTTGGGGCAAATCTAGGGTAAAGCAAAGAATGTTTAATTATTTTAATTTAGGAGAAGAGCCTGGAAGTAAAAACATGTCTCAATCTTTTTCTCCCGATTTCTTAATCCTCTTTTTCCCCTTTGAAGGGACTGGGTTATAACTTATGTTTGGGTAGACCTTCACAATTTTTACAGTGCTTTCACATTATCAGTTGATTCTCATAAACTGAGAAAATTTAAAAGGCATGGACTCTGTCATACAACTCATATGAAGTCCGTTTAATTTTTAATACCGCCTCTGTAATAAGCTAAAAACTACATTCGAATTGTCCCCTGTAGTATTGAGGCCATCAGGGAATATCCATCCCCCCCACCCCCCAGCT